ACCTTTATCTTAAGTTTATGGTAAGACCTGAAATTTAGGAACCTGTCTGTAAACATAGGGTTCCTGTACGAGTCTATCAATAAGATATTGTTGTTTTTGCGGATGATTTTTGCGTCCAGGAATAAGACTGATTGATTTTGATCCTCTTTATGGTGAATTGAATGTCGGGATCATAGCTATTGAAGTCTTCAAGACAAAGAGTAATGTCTACATATATATTTTTTTTGAACCGAAGGTTATAGGGCAATACCTGAATAACAATATCAAGCAGGTTATCCATTACATATTCTGCCAATATTGGCGATAACACTGACTCCATTGGACAAGCATTTGTTTGTGAAAATACTTTAATATTAAAAGTGAAATAATTGTTATGGAAAAGATTCTAAAATAGTGATGAAAGATTCCAGAGTTAGATTACAGCATTGACATATTTGATCCCAGTGTTTGTATATGGATCTGATTCAAGCTTCTAAATAGACATTGTTTTAAATCCATTAGAAGTCTTTTGAAAAACACATTTTTTTAGTAATTTTTCTAAATCAACCTTATGCACCCAGTTTTTTTATCATTTTGCTATGTGGTCTCATTCATTTTCTTCTAATAACAATTAGCAACAATCTCGTAAGTAACGAAACATCACTTAATTGTTTTATAGTTGCTATTATCTAAATTTGTTTATAGCTCTTGTTGATGATGGCATAGACCATCGAAGTTTGAGTTTTAAAGTTAAAATACACTTTGCAAATTTTCTCGACTTCCCAAAAACATATCAAAGATACTTTCTCCTAGCTAGTTGCGACAAATAACTATGTTCACTTTATATACCATCATGCGGAGAAAGGTATATTATAACAAACAGAAAAAAATAATGGACGCAAGATATAAATTGGTGAGGTGAAATCGAGTATATTGCTATGAAATGCCATTGAACGAAACGTGAAAATTTATACATTATAACCTGCTGACTGAAAAACAGGTGTTTGAGTTAAACTATTAGAAATTCTCAAAAACTACTAGACTCATCGACCGCAATTCTGTTGTGGTTATTTAGAAGTATGAGATCTACAGATGTGAGGAATTTCAAATATTTGCGTGATTCTACTGTCACATTACCAAGTGTCAAAACCTGTTTTGTTGACTAACTTTTTTGTTTTGATCAGATTTTTTTCGTGTGGCCTCATTTTGTAGTACCTAAATTTTTTTTTTCATTTTTGGAAACTTTTTCGATTGAATCAAAGTATTCGGTTAAATTCTTCCCACAAAAATTGAGCTACCCATTTTATGTGCCTGTCTTAAATACATCACTGAATAACTTGCATTGAGACAAACCTTACAATTATTTCGCAAATCGGGGGATTTTCATCTAATACGATTATAGTAAAGGATCGATATCAACATGGCCAACGCATATGACGACTTGTAACTCCCACAAATTTGTATTATGGGGTCTCATACCTCCTATAGTCTGAAGGGGGCGGATACCAATATGAGTCCAAAGATACATAGTCCCAGGGACAAACCATACACCACAAAGAAGAGAATTAATGATGTAATCTACGACATTTTCAAGGTTCGTCATCGAACACTCCGGGTCGTCACTTTTGATAGACTTGCACCATATGCCAAGGACCACAATGAAGAACAATGACTTCTGGAAGTGTACACTCACCCTACCTCAGAGCTGTCATTTGAAGACTTCATGGGTGTCTATAGAAACATCGCGAAAGGTTTAGGATTACCAAGAAAGAATACCAAGACCGCTGCGCTCAAGAAGAGCTGAAGGCACCAAAAAGCTTAGTCCGAATATTCTCAAAGACGTTTGGGCAAATTTAATAGTTGGAGGCCCAGAGGTCATCAGTAGGAAAATGTCTGAATATGTGACATGGATCATGGTGCAATCTCTGAAATGCTATACCCAGTTGTGCGGCATCCAGAAATTGGCGCGATGCCTTACGTAAACTGCCGTCAGTCCGCATGGACGTGAAAAATATGATGGAGATGATTTTCCTTGGACTGACATGCAGATTCTGGTCGGCAGCTTCGACGTTCGGTATAAAGACTGTTACTTTCACTGTGATCTGGACCTCCCACTCCAGAAAGAGGGCTATCGATAATGGCATGATTGAGGTGATAGTGTGCGAGGATGAACACTCCTGAGGAAGGGGAAGTGGAGTGGGAGCGAGAACCCCCTGTATATGGAATAGCTGGAATCGTTCGAGGTGATCACGAAAACATCTAGCAGTGTTTGTCTAAGTAGTCCAGGTAGTATCTTTGCATCTGCTCGGAAAAATATTCTGATTCAGATTGTCTACATAATCTTATTCAAAAAGGGCCTCTTCGAATGAATATGTATGTAGCCATGCCCAACATTGTGTCAGAAATTGTTTGAATAATTTTTTATAAACAAATTCCAAAATTTGATTTTTTTGCTGCGTTCGGTGTTTTTAGTCTTTTAGGATATTCCATGGCTAATGGGACTAGAGTTTAGTACCAAAAAAAAAGACACTTTGGACAAAAACATGCTTTAAACATATTCTCCGAAGTTGGTATTCAATATATAAATTTCATTAAAGTGCAAAATATGACATTCTCGACCTCGAAAAACAATACGAAAAACAAAAATGTTTCCAAAGCCAAAGCTTTTGATTGTTCTTGAAGAATCCATTATCAAAAAACTCAAAGCATTTTAGCGGTTATTATTGTAAATTTTTAATTGTTAATGAAGCGCCCGCTCAATGTATACAGGGTGACTTTGAAGTTGAGTCATTAATTTTCAGATAATGATTGTAGAAGGAAGATAAACCAAAATATGTGTGTAAAAATAAAAAAAAAATTTACCTTGTTTTATAAAGTATCCTCCCGACAAGTATTTCAGTGCGGACCTGTATTTGATCGTGAGGTCTTGGAGCACCGGCATGCCGTCCATATGTGAGGTCTTAAGTCAAATGATTCACGAACCCGTTGTACTACATTAACAAAGGCACGAGGGGTTGGTTGCACTCGATTGGGAAACCGATCCGCATAAACATGTGCCATTTTTTATTTCGTTTGAGCCACGCAACAGACACCACTATCCACTACCGACTGACACTGACTGTATACAACTGAATGAAATAATTGTAAAAACATCGTTCCAAATTCTTTCGCTTTTTTGTTTCCGATGCGATGAACCGATAAGGCGAATTATATCCGTTGTCGCCAAACACGAGCACATAATATTATTATTGAGACAGGGCGGTACTCAAACCTCCAAAGGGCTATAACTTTGTTACTTTAATTTTACCAGAAAAATGGTAAAGGAAAAAAACATTTCTTTTGATCAGATCTACTCACTGTTAAAATAAATGACTCAACTTCGAAGGCACCCTGTATATATTTTGTGTGAGAGCGAGGAAGATGCAGCATAGGGGCGCTCATCAGCTACCTGGAAAAAAGCTACATACGTTAAATTTACCTACACATAACCTAATTTTCACAATACATAATCACGCTTCGACTTCATTTGATGCGCTCAGCGGGTGATATTTTTGTGTTGAATCTGTCACTGGCAGTAACGAATCTTGTGATACTCGAGACTATTTATACTGAACGCCGATGGAAGTTTCATTTATTTTCACACACATACTTTCATTGAATGGCGTTTTCCACTGGTATGTACTTTTGTACTATTTACGCGCTCTTTTATTGGATTGCTGGAAACTTGTACACTACGTAGTACTAGTACACTAAGTAGTTTTACGTGCACGGTATTAAGCCATCACGAAACAAGGGTTGAATATTTCTCCAACTTTAAGTTGGTCAGGTATGTTAGTCAGTAAGTCGTACTAAAACTGAACACAATTCCACTTTTCTTGATGTTGCCCTACAATGATAACAGCATTGTGTGCATCTAATAATAATAGGAAAATGAATCTATCGGATTTTTCGCGCAATATTGTATGCAGTTGATTGATTTACATGCAAGATCTGGCAGATGGACAGGGTTGCCAGACCTATTTCTATAAGTCCCCCAGCCTAAATAACAAATTCCCCCAAAAAGCACATCTTTAAAAAAAATCTCCCAAAACTTTCAAAGATATTTATTATTATTATTATACTTTGCAGGTTGGCTAAAATTGTCTTATGAGTATGGTATTTATGGTAATAACACTAATAACTAATAACAAGTAACATAAATATATATTTTTTTACTATCATAATATACGAGTAGTATGCTACAGCTCCGAGAATGCATTTAAAACTTCTTCCTCCTCCTTTTTGCAATCATACATTCTTTCAGAATTGAAATATTGCAACATATTTTCAGTTGGTTGAAAATCTGTACAACCATTTTTTAAATTGCACAGATACCATCGAACTCTCATGATAGCATCTGTACTATGAATCGCCAAGCGATTTCTAAGTTTGTTTTTTACCACATTTATAATGGAAAAAGCTCTCTCAACTGAAGCATTAGAAAATGGAAGGCTAAGTAACGCAAGAGCTAATGATGAAATATTTTTATATCTAGGTTCCCCTGCTGCATCGACGTTATTTGCCACCTCAACCCAAAACTTTTCTGTATCATGCAGGTTTATCCAATTTATTCGAGGAAGTGATTTCCATTCTGCAATTGTACTATCAAGGTCAGGACATATTGTTGAGAAAGATAAAGCAATATTAGTTATTTCAGGTTGACGTATCTTGGATGTAGCTAATTCGGGGTTAAATGAATTTATTTTCTCCAAAATATTCATACTTTCAGGGATTCTCATTTGAATTTGTCGACATAATTCCACTAAATAATCTTTACATCTAGTTCGCACCATTAGTAGTTCATCTTGTTTAATTGCTAAGGATGACGCTTTTGAATTGAACGAATATCCTAAATTTATCAATTCTATATCCATAATGTAATCTTCAAATTTGAAATCAACGACGTTATTTTTTGAAATTTTTTGAAGTCTCATAGGTGGTACTAAAATACTTAGGTTATTGAAAAGTAATAAATTCAAATCTTAAATTAATTTCAGTGGATCTGCACACTCTGACTGAAACAGTTCATTAACTCTAATTATTTCTTTCAATGTCCAACTCAAAAAGGTGAAATATAATACATTAGTTTGGTCCGATAACATTTGAAACAGCTGTTCAGCCATATAACACCTTTCATTATCTTTTACTATACCAAAGTGTATTTTTAATGCATCCCATTGTTCTAGAATTTTAACTATCGCATTGTATCTGGCTAGCCATCTGGTTCCTGATAGTTGGTCAATTTTTAGTGGTTTTTGATCCGTCAGTGTTTCAAATATTTGTTTGTATGCTATTTGCCTTTTTGTACTACAAGAGAACCAATTGTGGCATTCCTTGATTATAAAGTCCAAATGACGAGGTAGAAGTTTAAATGCATACTCTGCTGCCAAATGCAGAGAATGACAGACGCACTTAATAATAACAAGTTCATTATTCTTTGCTTTCAAAAAAGAAGCTACTGAATTATGCGCTCCAACCATAACATTGGCTCCATCAACACCGATTCCTATTAGATTCCCTAATTTTAAACCGTCTAGCTCCAGTTGTTTTGTCACCGCAGCCGAGATAGTTATGGCATCTCCCTTTTCAATTTCGATAAGTTTGTAGAAAGTCGTAACAATCTTAGTTTGCTTTTTACTAAAATATTTTATCATAACGCATAGCATTTTTGTGGAATCGACTGCAGTGCTCTCATCTATAATCAATGAATATTTACTATCTGCAACATCCAAAAGTAAGTCATTTAGTATTGAAGGAGCCAACACATTCAATATTAAAGATGTACATTTAGTTCTGTGTAATTTAACGTCATTTAATATTTCAGATGATTTATCTAAATTTTTTAAAAGTGATCCAAGATGATCAATTGTTGCAAGTGAGCAGTGCTCACATATGAATGCAGCAATTTTTAATTCTGCTATTTTCCTGCTGGCGGTCAAACCTTTTTTCATAAACTCAGTAATTTTTTTACTCGGGCCAGCCAAAGATCTTTTCTCCGCCTCTTGATGTTTCTTACTTTTACCGTGAAGCAGTAAGTCTTTTTTATGTGCAGCTAAAGTACATTTACATATCTTACAAAGCGACTTTGTCTCATCTGCTAATACAGGACCAATCCATCCTATATGGAATGAATAATTATAATTAATAACCCACACCATCAAAATTTCAATAGATTACCTTTAAGTTCAGCATCGGATTCCCAAGCAACTCGGTATTTTCGGGTATATAACGACTCCTTTTCTTTAGGCATATTTAGATTGACACGTACAACACTAATTTGGATAAACCATGCGTATTGAACACTCCAAAGTAAAAGAAATATAGCCTATAAAGTTAATGATAGGAAAGGAAATAAAGTTACACGATTCTCTGGGTTTCACATAGATGAGAAACACTTATTTAATCGCGCCATCTAACGCACAAAAACAAAATAATATTTTGCCGCTATTGAAGGAAACTGTAATGTAGGTGCTTCAGAATAATTTTAATAGTTGTTGAAAGATGGCAGGATTATCTGTAAATGAATTTATATTTATTCAAAGTTGTTCTCGAATTCCAATAATTTAATTGAAACTTGAAAATTGGTCGGACGACAGAATGTCTTCTTAAAATCGCACCCCAAAAAAACCCCAAAACGGAATAATTTTCCCCCAAAAAATCCCCCACGCATTGTATACCCCCAAAAATTCCACCAAGCAATGAAAAATACCCCAAATTTGGGGGAAAATCCCCCAATCTGGTAACCCTGCAGATGGAATAAAATGACAAAAAGAATCAGCTGGTTTGTTAGTGCGCATGCGATTGATCAAGATTTCTTTTGCATATTTTGCTGACTGTGAAAATGGTATAAGAACAAATGCGGTTAGACACAGCTTTAATCAACTGTTTTACAAAAATCTCTGCAAAAGCGTATTTCGCTGAAACTGAGTTGGACACATACATTGCTATAAGCAGATTGGGTACCATGTGCGTAGTTAAATCTGGTAATTAAAATTGCAGATGCGCAAGACGATCCTTTACGCAGCTGTTACTCGCCTTTGCACGCATACGTGAACTGGGTGACCGAGGAGCACTTCATTCACCTTCTTAAATCACACACACTTTGTCGAAATTGATTTGTATCTTCAGGCATTGCTAAGTTTTATACAGAAGACCAACAAAGGTAAACTTGAATCGCGCGCCTATGACAAGCCGCCCATGACAAGCAAGTTGTCATGCTGACAGTGACAAGCACAAATGTTGAAGACTCATAAGTTGACGAGAATTTTCATTAGGATGAGACAAGATTAAAAAGCGTTTATCTGTGAGCTTATACAAGCAAATGTCCGCGCATAAAGGCCGATTACATATCGTCGCTCACGTTCTAACATCACCTAGGAGATCAAAATGATTTGGATGCCCTTTCGAATGACATGCATATTTTATAATTCTCCATCTTTGTCTGACCGCTAAATGAAACCACATATATTGTTTGAAATATTGTTTACTGGTGGCCAACTAAAACGACGATATACATATACAGGGTTTGTCCGGCAAGTAATAGGACTGAGTCGATTTAAAAAAACTTATTGAGCCGATCGTTACAATTCTTTAAAAACTTTCAAAGTAGGCTCCTTCTGCGTCGATGCAGCGCTGCCAGCGCGATTTCCAAGCATTGAAGGCGTCACGGAAGGCATTCTCCGGAATAGCCTTGAGAGCCGCGGTGCATGCTGCTTGGATCCCCTCTGTCGTCTCAAAATGCTTGCCTTTCATCGGCCTTTTCAGGCGAGGAAACAAAAAAAGTCGGGGGGGGGGGGCACATCTGGGCTGTAGAGCGGTTGCGGAAGCCTTGGGATGCCGGCCTCGCTCAGGTAGCTGTTCACAAGAAAGGCGGTGTGAGCCGGGGCGTTGTCGTGGTGCAACTTCCAGTCGGTTGCGATGTCTTGTTGGACCCGACTGACCCATCGTTTGAGTCTCCTGGGCACTTCCACGTAAAACTTGGCGTTGACGGTTTGTCCGGGAGGAACAAATGCATGGTGAACGATGCCTTTGATGTCAAAAAAGACAATGAGCATCGTTTTCACTTTAGATTTGCTCATTCTTCCCTTTTTTGGGCGAGGAGGCGCCGTCGTGTGCCACTCGGAAGATTGCCTCTTTGTCTCGGGATCATACTCAAAGATCCACGACTCGTCACCTGTGATAACGTTATTCAAAAATTGGGGGTCACTTTCACACATGTTCAAATTTTCTTGGCACACTTTCACTCGCCTCAATTTCTGGTCGTCAGTGAGCACCTTTGGGACCATTTTCGCGCACACCTTGCGCATGTTCAAATGCTGTGTCCCAATGTCATGAACCACAGATTTTGGTAAATTTAACATCTGGGCAATTAAACGAATACTTAGTCGACGGTCTGAGTTCAAAACTTTGCGCACACGAGTCACATTATCGTTGTTTGTCAAAGTCGAAGGTCTTCCAGCACGGTCGTCATCAGCGACCTCTTCCCGGCCCTCCAAAAAGGCCTGGTGCCACCGAAACACACCACTTCTCGCTAAAGCAACACCTGGGTAAGCTTGCTTGATCATATCAAACGTCTCTGTCGCAGATTTACCGAGTTTCACACAGAACTTAATCGCGTACCTCTGCTCTAACGAACGCTGCATTTTCGGCTTGCACCACTCACAGAAACACGTCGCGCGAAAATGCCTGTCCTGACTCTCCAAGTGCTCGGAGAGAACTGACCAGCCGCTCATTCGTTAGCTAGGAACGCCCTCTACCACGCACGCTCCGACGTACAGTCATGGCGGAAGAAAATGAGTCCTATTACTTTCCGGACAAACCCTGTATGTGTGACCCACCAAAAACCATGAAGAGTTTATACGTATGCTGTGCTGTCAGGTCATTTCAGGTAACCGATCGACTTGGTAGCCGGAATGAACTTTACCGAACGCTTCACAACATAGCGTAATTAATTGATTCAAAATGTTCCTACGCCCCATTACCAAATACAGGGTGTTGTAAGCTTCTACCCTACTGACATAGGCATATCCAACTCAAAACGGAAGTCGGGCAGCCTTTTTTCATGAAATTTTCACCTAAGCATGATAACTTCGTTTTTCAGTTGTACAGATTCTTGTGCATTGATATTATGAATGATAACTGAAAAACTTTTAAATCTATAACGAATTTTAATTTGCTGCATACTTCATATTGTATACTTGGATGAAAAATACGTAATTTCTCATATACTTGAATTTTTCCAAATTGTTGGAAGTATGCTCAAAAATTCAAGCAGTTCTTACTTCCACGTGCAATGGAGAAGGGCGCATTGAAATCGCCGAATTCATTATGTCTTATATTTCATTTATCATCAGTAGTAACTAACGTTTTCTACATGGGAATATCCAGCCTGATAGCGATACCGTAGCATCATCTATGAGAAGTTGACAGTGCTATATTTTTTCTCGCCGCTATAATTAGGAATCTACTTTTAAAATGCTAGTGTCTCATACATGGCGCTGTGGATAAAATATATATGAGCATATACCTACCTTTTCAAATTAGATTTCTACTTATTGCGGAGAAGAGAAACACAGCTGTGACAAATTCTCATAGGTGACGCAACAGTGTAGGTTGGCTATCTTCATGTAGAATACGTTAATAAATGATATAATTTAGGCACCTAAGACAATGGTTACATAAACTGGGATACCCCAGTCACAAATATTTGTTTTACTTGTACAGTCCAACTAAACTTATTTCAGTATTATCCAGCACTCAAGCGGTCATGGATACCGTTCGTTATTTTGGAAGGGATAAAAGTTTCATCCAATTCTAGTTTGGTAATATAAAACTAAATGAAGCAATCAGTGACGACATGCCACAATACATGGCGGCTCGAATCCGTTCTCATGATGTCCGTCCGCTTTTTCACCTAGGTCAGTATTTTCATTAGGCTCTTCGAAAAGTAAATATTAACTAGTTGTGCCAGATATTTGACAAGCGCGATCTCAGTGTATTTATATATCATATCATATCATATCTGCGCAGATCTGCCGCGTGGCTTTGTAGAGCTTCCTTTATGGCTTCAGGCAGAGCGCTAAGCCTACTCTAAAATGTTTCGTTGCAAATTTGCTATATTTTTTATAACAGTACATTTCATTGAACCTCACCACTCACCAACATATCAAGGTCGCTGCCCCTACCGCCGATTCATCAAAAGATGCCATTTAGTGTATAAAGGATACCGCTTTTTCCAAGATCACTTGAATTTTCCGATGTCTGGTATCAAAATACAAAACTTATATACCAGATAAAACAGTGTCATTAGCAACCGATATTGAAATTTTCCCAGGCTCAACTGCCCAATATAGAAGGTGCCCCAAAGTTCACGCAATAATGAATATAATTCAAGCTTTTTCTCCATCAGCATAAATTTGACTAAATTTTGGTGATGCAGGGTTGAATTTCCTTCTTTAGTCCACGAGTGTCTGTAGGTTTCTTTCTACTTAAAAATGGATTAACATTAAGATAGCCAACCTGATACTTTATTCGCGCGCCTGAAACATTATCGGAGATAAAATGAGATGCCGAAACGTCATATATGAGAGAGGTTGTCTATCTACAGGTAGAATACGTTAATCAATGGCTTAAACTAGGCAATATGGGTGTGGATAACACATGGCGTATCAGACAGACAGTGTCACATACCATAGATCTCGTGAAGAAGCCTGCATTACATATTTCCTTTGTCGTGGACTTCTTCATTTCGGTGAAGATAATTGACTACCCAGATCTGGTGTGGGTGTTTTCACTAAATTTGATTATATTGATATGGGTAATATATTATGCTTTACCGAAATTCATCCAGATTACGTGAATTTCGGGACACCGTTTAGTAATTAAGTCTGATTTTATTATATAATATATTCGCGATAGAGGATGTTAAATCTCTACGCCTAGGATGGGCACTGATTGGATATGTGCGTTTGTACTTTTATAGTGGGCTGAATGATATTCTCAGATATCCACATAATTTTTTCTCCAAAACTGGGAGCCTGACATCATTCAAAAGAGGTATTTGAAATCTCTATTGAAAAATTCAGGAGTTTCAGAAAAGTTACTGGCGTAGAAAATACTTTTTGGCTTCTGTTCCTATACCACGGATGAGCCACGAACATTTTGTATGTATTTGTTACGCTTTTGGTATTATGTACACAAATTGTTGAGTCTACGAGTATACGTTCATCCTGGAGATTCTGTAATTTCACAATTTTTTAAATCTGACTTCAACATCCTGGAGACGTGTTAGTGCCTATTTGTATATATGTAATATAGTAGTATAGAATGTTATTTAATTGTACAGATATTTAGGTTTTAATTGAATGTTACGGTGACTAGAATTGACCATCCAGACCTGACTGGGCTTTTTCCTGAATTATGTTATTTGGTACGAATAATGTATGCCTCGCCGAAATTCATCCACATTGCGTGAATTTCAGAAC